TCTCCTTAGCTCATGCTGCTCCATTGCAAAGCCTGTATTTGCACCTGGGTTTGTGGGACTCCAGGATTTGCCCTCTTTCCACCTACCTGTACGTACTGTGTTGAAAAGTGTCCCCCCAAACTCATGTCTACCCCGAACCTCGGAATGTGACCATATTTGGAAAAAGTCTTTGCAGATGTAATTAGTTAAAAGAAAATGAGGTCATACTGGATTAGGGTGGATCCTAAATCCAATATGACTGGTGTCCTTATAAGAAGAGGAGATGACACAGAGACACACAGGGAGAAATGGGGAGAAAAGCACATACAACAGAGGCAGAGGCAGCCACAGACCAAGGAATACCAAGCACTAGGGGCAACCAGCAGGAGCTACGAGACAGGCGTGGGACAGACTCCCCCACGGAACCCTCAGAAGGAACCAACCTTGCTGACACCTTGATTTCTGACTTCTGTCTCCAGAACTGTTAAGAGAATAAATGACTGCTTCTTTAAGCCACCCAGATTGCAGTACACCATTAAACAGCCCGGGGAAATTTATACGCTGCTAATCCACTGAGCAGCAGACCCGGGATTCTTATTTTCAGATTCCCACTCACTAGGCAGCCTTGGAGGTTAAGGGGTCTGAGGGCCTGTGAGAGGTCATTTTTTTCTTTTAAGTATTTTATTTGTTTGACAGAGAGAGAGGGAGTGCACAAGCGGGGGGTGTGGCAGTCAGAGGAAGAAGCAGACTCCCCAAAAAGCAGGGACCCCGACGCGGGGCTGGATCCTAGGACACCGAAAGAAATCACGACCCGAGCTGAAGGCAGACACTCAACCGACTGAGCCACCCAGGCGCCCCGCGAGACGTCATTCTTATCTCTCCTTTACCTCCCTAACCCAAGCTGGCCTTAAGTCCACCACCTGTGCTTCTTTTCTAGGTCTCTGTCCACCCTCTGAGCCCAGTCTCCAAGTCAACAGTCACCACCTGGAGAGCTGTGTTTTTGAAATGCAAATCTGATTCTTCCAGGCTAGCTTAATCCTCTTCCCTAGCTCCCCACCACCTGTGGAAGTCCAGCTCTTCAGCCTGGGCCAGATCTTGCCCCAAACTTTCTCTCCCGGCCTTACTTCTGGCCAATCACCCCCACCTGTCCCTACCACTAATCACCTTCTGCTCCAACCACATAGAACTATTTGGAATTTCCCTAACAAGCTCTGGTGCCTTTGCACATGCTGCCCTAACTACCCGGAAGATAAATCCAGCCCAAACACCATCTCTTTTCTTTGTAAAGCCTCTTCCTTCCTGAACAACCTCACTCTGATGCCTTGTATATTGTACATCTTTACATGTCTGCCCCTTCACCCAGCCTGTGAACACTGCTGGATTCATTTCCGCTTCTGGAGGCTTAGGGCCCAGCACAAAGGCATTCAAGAGTGTTGAACTGAATTGCCGAGTAGCCATAATAGTCACAATTGCTAACACTTAGCAAATGTTTACTATGTGCTCAGCACTGTGTGAAGCATTCCATGTATGTTACCTCATTTCATTTTCAGAACAATCCTATGGAACAGATACTATTATTGGTCCTGTTTTACAGGTGAGGAGCTGAAGAGATGACGTCCCTTGCCCAAGTCCCTCCAACCAGTACGTGGCAAAGCCTGGATGACTCTAGAGCCAGGGCTTGTAACCAGGACTAGGTACACCATCCAGCCTAATACCCTCATTTTACAGAAGAGGAAACAAGCAAAAAAAGGAAAAGTGACTTGTCCACAAACAAGGCACGGACCCAGATCTTTAGATTCCTTATTCAATGTTCTTCCTCTTCTCATTCTTGCAGGATCCTATTCCAGGAGGACACAGACGACTTGCTAGGCTGTGTTTCCTGGAGAGCTTTCTCCTGCCTCCTCTAGAGCAGAGCCCAGCACCGGCCCAGGCACACCATGGGGGTTCATCTATGGCCAGGAGAGGTAGCAGTAAAAAAGACAGATAAATCTACTTCTAAAAAGTCTGAGGCCTGCTTAGATATTACAATGTCAGGGCTTGAGAGGACACTTTGGGTGTCAGTTAGTATACCATCTCCCATTATATAAAGTCATCCACTTCAACAAATTTATTGAACACCAATCATAAGCCGGGCACTGTGTGGGGGCACTAGAAAGAATGATAAGCAAGTTCCTGCCCAGATGGTATTTGCACTTCAGTGAGGGGAGAGAGACAAACAACTAACAAGTTCATGTATAATTACAAATTCTCATAAGCACTATGGACTACAGGGAGCTCTAAGAACGTATAACAAGAAAAACTGACTTACTCTAGGGAGCTGGTGAAGGGCCCCCTGAGAAAGTCACTCTTGAGCTGACATCTGAAGAATGGGAATTAAACAAGAAGCAAGGGAAGAGTGTGCTAGACAGAGGGAACAGCATGTGCAAAATCCCAGAGGCCAGAGAGCTCATGGTGCCTGGTTGATCTAAAAGAAGGTCGGAGTAGCTGGTTTCCAGAGAAGGGGGCAGGGACTTGATCCTGCAGGTCTTATAGGTCAAGGTAAGGTGTGGAGAACTGAACAGAGCAGGGAAACCCCTTGCTCAAAACCTGGCCCAGAGCAGACACTGTCAATGAGTTATTACAATATTCAGTGAAGGAGCAATTTGTCCAAGATCACAGGGAAGACCTGAGAGTTGAAACCAGAACACCCACCTGCCCGACTAGGGCTGTGGGGCTACTTCATTATGTGGGGCAGTGGGCAAGGGATGCTTTCCCAGTGTTTCAACCTATAGGAGGTTCCAGTTTCCTTTCGGCACCTCTCTTAAACTCAAGGGCAAGAGAATCACCTGTGTTTGTTAACACATAGACTGCTGGGCTCCACCCCCAGAGTTATTACTGATTCAGTAGGTCTGACCGGAGCCCCCAAAATTTGCATTTCCAACAAGATCCCAGCTGACCATGTTGCTGCTGGTAGGGTGACCATACTTTGAGAACTACTGCTCTAGATTAGAGTGTATGGGGGCAAAGGGGCATGGCCAGGATCCTTGGGGGCTAGAAAGGTAGATTCCTAAATCTGGGTAATGATGAGACAAACACCAGGACTCTGAGAAACCGAATGGGCTCAGAATCTAGCCTACTAGCTGCTCAGCCAGGGAAACTGAGGCTTAGGGGGGTTAGACTCTTACATAAGAGAAGTGCAATACAAATGTGCTGAGCGAACAGATAAACACAAAAGGGTTTGACCAAAGTCCAAAGGAGACCCCTGGACCAGACTCCAGGGCTCCTGAGCGCCAGGCCAGAGTCTTTCTTATCCTGGGAAGGGGAGATTCAGGGAAGGGGACAGCAAGCTCAGCTCTCCCCAGCTTCTGCTGCCAGAAACATTTTAAGAATTGCAGAAATCTGCTCTTGGCCCCCAATCCTATCACCCATCCACCCTCCTTCCTTTTACATTCCCAGCTCCCTCCCTTTCCACTCCAAATCCTGTGCACTTTATCCTGGCAAGCCGAGCAGCAGAGGGGGAGGTGAAGTAAGAGGGAAGAAGAATTGGAAGTGGAGGAAGAATTCTTGCACTTGGATGTCCTTCTTCCAGAACAATTCCTTCCTCCTAGAAGAGTCTCAGTTTCTCTCCATCCTTGTATCCAGTCTACCCCCAATCCACCCACGTTTCAATACCAGCATCTGAAACCCACAAAACCAGGGGCTAAATTTCCAAACCACTTTTTCACCCAGTTTTTCTATAATAGAGTGGCCCTGGACAAAATTTTTCTATCCTATCCTAGTTGGCAGCAAAATGCCACTCCTCTTGCAAACCCACATGCACAGACTCGCTAATATACAAACAGCTATATGTACATAAAAACAAATACACCAGAACTTTAAAAACACATACACATATACATCAAAATACATTATTCATTGTTCACTGATAAAACATACCTATGCACCCGAACACACAAGAAAAACACAGAGAGACACACATGCAGACAGACCACAAATCTAGAAATGCATGCACTGCACCAGTACATGGGAAAAGGGGTACAGACACACCCAGGGACCTCTCTCAGAGTAGAGGTCTCCTGAGAGGTGGGGGTATTCCTGCTCGGGCTCTGGCCCTTTAAGAGAGTGGTTCTCCCTCCTTTCGGGGCCTCTAAGGTGCGGCTCTACCCATGAAAGCTAGAGACGGTGAGGGTGGGAGTGAGGCTGACCTGGCCAAGCCCCGTCGGACTCTGGGCCACCGTCTTCGCGCCGCGACAGGAAATGGATTCCTGAACCGCCTGGGTCACCAGCCTGGGGACCGCTGTTGCCTCCACCACCACCCCACACCCGCACACGCACACCCGAGCGCGCGCACACACACACACACACACACACACACCCCGGGCTTCAGGCAGGACACGCCCTCCACTCCCGCTCGGCCCGGTGCGCGGGCTCCGCCGTCAGCCCAGCGCCTTGTGGCCGCTGGGGTGTGGCCGCCCACCGGCCAGCAGAGAGTCTCCGCCGGGCGGGGACACTACTGCCGCCGCCGCCACCCACCGCCCCGGCCAGGTGCCCGGCTCCCCGGGACCACAGCGCCTCGCCCGCCGCCCCCACCCCTTCCTCCCAGCAGTGCGGAGACAAAGCCGCGCACACGCACACGGGGGCTACGCGGGTGCACACCCGCCCTCACACGCGCACACCCGGGGAATCACACGGGCGCTCACACGGCGACACACACACACACACACACCCCGCCACAGGCTCCAGCCACAAGCGAAGCCACTGGCACACACCCTCATCCAGATGTACACACACTCAGCTACATATTCGGACACACCCTCTAATAGACACATTCACGAATAGACACACGCAGACACACACACCCTCACCCAGATACACACACACCACCCAGTCCAGACGCACGGAGACCCACAGCGCACCCCCCCACACACACACACAGATGCACACCCAGCGCACACGCACACACGCGCAACCACTTGCACAGACCCACGGGCACACGCGCGCTCACACCCAACACCCGGAGATGTGGATCCCGACACACGTACCAGCGCCAGTCCTGAGACTCACGACCCGAGGCCCGGGGCTGCCGGCTGGGGCGCCCGCCCCCCTGGTGTCCAGCACCCCCCGCCGGAGCTGGCCCGTCGGCCTGTCAGGGCTCGAGGACCGGGGACCGAGCCCGGAGCCCTCGGCGACCACCTCGCACACAGACACACGCGAGAGCAGACGCGGCGGGGTCCCCGAGGCCCGGAGGAGGGCGGCGCGGGCGGCTAACCTGGCAGCGGCGGCGCGGCTTCCGGGCGCTGTCTGTCCTCGGTCTGTGCGTCCCACGGCCGCCCGTGCGGGCTCCGAGGCGCACTCGAGCTGCGCAGAAATGCCCCGCTCGCTCGCTCCCTCCCACGGCGCCCAGCCCCCTCCCCGCCCGCCCCCCACACCGGGCTCCCCCCTCCGCCCCGCCCCGGCCGGCTGCCCCCGAGGAGGCGGCGGCAATCCCGGCCGCCCCAGCAGCCACCGGCGAGCTAGCGAGCAGCCGCGCCGAGCCGAGAGCAGCCGGGCGGCGGGGGGGGAGCGCCGCCGCCGCCGCCGCCGGAGCCGCGGCCGCGCGTCGGGAGGAGCCGCGCCGAACCCCGGGGAGGGGTGGGGAGGAGGGGGCTGAGACCCGCGAGCCCGCCTGGCGCCCGTGGCCCGCCGCCCGCTTCCCCACGTGGGCCCCGCGCCTGGCGCCTACCTGAGCCGCCGCGGAGCTCAGAGGCCGGGGCCGAGCGGCGGGGCGGGGGTGGGGGGGGAGACCCCACCGGGGAGACCCCACCCCGGCCTCCTCGCCCTCCCAGTCCCAGCCCGGTGGGCTCGCGCCCCGCCCCCGCCTCCTCCCTAGTCCCCGCCAGCGCCGACCTGGGTTTTCCCAGGCTAAGACGCCTCGGCTCTCGGCCCGGTGCCCCGGGCTAACCCCACGGCCCGGCGCCCAGCTCGCCTGCCTCCTCTACCTCCAGCCCGGACCTGGCCGACGCCCACCCGCCGCCCCGCCGCCCTCCCATTGTTCCCGCAGCCTGAGCTTGCAGAAGATCCCGCAGCGCCTTCCAGCCCTCTCCCAGGTGGCGATACCTCTGGACTCTCTGGGGGCCCTCCAAGGGCTGGCCCCTGGCTCTGGGATCCCGACGCCCACCCTCCACGGGGGCAGGCACGACCAGAGGAAAGAGCTTTTCTAAATTAGGGTTATAACCACCGGCCCTTATAGGCTCTCCTTCAGGTCCTACTTCGAGTATAGACTGAGGCTTGGGGAGCGAGGAATTAATCCAAGTTCAGCAAGCCCGAGATGGCAGCACGGAGAAAATGGGGGTACCGATTAGGTGTCTCCATTCCATAAATGAAGAAACTGAGGGCTCCTGGGTCAGGGCCAGGCCCTCCAGAAGTGCAAGGAAAAATGAGCCTGCCCTCCTTTGTTAGACTAAATAAAGCAGAGCCAGCGGGGGAAGCAAGTGTCATGTACTTCGGCGTTTTTACTGGAAGTCAGAAGGAAGGTAAAGACCTACTAAGTGCGGGAGCTTTCATGCACTGTGTCTCACTTAGCCCTGACCATAGTCCTAGGTAGCAGCTGTGATTATCCCCATTTTGCAGATGGGAAGCCTGTCCTAGGTCTCTCTACCAGCAGCACAGAGCCAAGATAAAGCCCAACCATTATTCAAGTTCTTCACTGTGGTCCTTGCCTCCAGTATAGGAAACTAAGTGCCAAATGAGCCACTGAGAACTTAAGAAATCAAGGAGAGGAGGCTTAGTTTGCACTTTGAAGAACTTCCACAAACTAAGAAAGAGCAGAACTGAGGGGATCAAGGTCCCAAAGCAAGACTGAGCGTGGCTTGTCCAGGAGGAAAAAAGTATAATTAATAATTAGAACTAATGATAACCAACATGTTCGGAGCACTCACTGTATTCTAGGCACTGTTCTAAGAGCTTTACTTGCACTAACTCATTTAATCCCCCAGTAACACTGTGCAAAAGAGGTTATTCTTGCCACCACTTTATACATTAGGAAACTGAAATGCAAAGCCTGTAGAGCCTCAGAGCCGAGATTTAAATCCAGGAAGCTGATTCCCAAGCCTGCGTTTTTAACTACGGTAGCAGACAGAAGCAGCCCTGATGTGAGACAAAGAAAGGCACTGGAACTCCCAGAGCCCCCACCACAGCAGGACTCTATTGAATTTGCTGTCCTCTGTCTCCCTGTGTGCACTCAGTGCCCTCCCACAACGCCTGCTATGTAGGCCTCATTTGTTAAATGACTGCATGACTGCCACACGGGGCTGGAGGGCTGAGTGCCACGTGCAGGGCTCAGTTGCAGCCCTCTCTGCCCTGCTGGGCATCTTCATCAGTGCCTTTAGATGAAGCCAAGGAAGGCATGAAACGCTAATCAAATCTACTGTTGTCGTGAAGCTGGAAGGGACAGCAAACACTCTGTAAACCAAAATTAGTTTCCAAAAGAGCTCAGCAGCCTTGGGGCTGAGCTGGATCCAACAAGATGAGGTGCCACACAGAATAAATGTAAATTCCTGCCCTCTTTGGTTCAAACCAGAGCAGCCCCACTGAACTTTCTGTGCTGATGGAAATGTCCTAAACCCACATTGTCCTTTTTTTTTTTTTTAAAGCGGATCCCATGCCCAGCACAGGGCTTGAACTCACCACCCTGAGATCAAGACCTGAGCTGAGATTAAGAGTCAGATGCTTAACTGACTGAGCCACCCAGGCGGCCCTGCATTGTCGATAAGATAGCCACTAGCCACCCGGGGCTGTAGAGCACTTGAAATATGGCTAGTACAACGGAGACACTGAAATTTTAATCTCATTTCAAGTACTTAAAATCTATTAGCCGCCTGCAGCTAGTGCCTGCCATATTGGACAGTACAGTTCCAAATGATCACGTGCCCAAAATACAAGATAGAATCTAGATTAAGAAGAGTTCCAGTGAAAATGACTTAAAGGTTTGAGGTGACCTCAAGTTCAACAGTGCAATGTGGCTGTAAAAAAGAAAGGAAGGAAGGGAGGGAGGGAACGAGGAAAGGAAGAAAGGAAGGAAGGGGGGGAAAGCAAACATGATTACTGTATCAACAGAAAGCAGAGGTCAGACCAGCTTGGTGCTGCCCTGGGCAGATCACAGCTTGGCCACAGGGCTCAGCCCTGGGGCCCACATTCTGAGAGCGACACTGTCACAGGAGAGTATGTCTCGAGGAGGAGACCAGAATACCACTGAGAACCTGAATACCACTGTGTGATGAATGCCTTAAACAGCCTGGAGAAGGGAAAGGACAGGGTGGGTATAGTGGCTATCTCCAAACCTCAGGTCGAATAAACAAAACAAAAAATTCTGCAAACCCCTAGGCCACACTATCCATGTCTAATTTATCTTCCTGTTCCCCTGGGCACCTAGTTCACCCAGGACCTGGCCCACAATAAACACTGACTACAAACTTGCTGACTGAATGGATGTGAAAGAATCCCCTCAGCTCCAGTGGGTGGACATCAGGGAGGACAGTTTCAGCTCACTGTAAAGAACTCACAAACAGTCATGGCTATCCAAGAATGAAATGGACGACCTTGGGAGTGATGAGCTCCCTGCCAATAAGTGTATTCAAAGAGACTGGGTCTTCACATTCAGATGGCAAACAGACACGTGAGAAGATACTCAACATCACTCATCGTCAGGGAAATGTAAATCAAAACTACAATGAGATATCACCTCACACCTGTCAGAATGGCTAAAATTAACAATACAGGAAACAGGTGTTGGCAAGGATGTAGAGAAAAGGGAACCCTCTTACGCTGTTGCTGGAAACGCAAACTGGTACAGCCACTCGGGAAAACAGTATGGACTTTCCTCAAAAAGTTAAAAATAGAACTACCCTACAATCCAGCAATCACACTACCAGATATTTACCCAAAGAATACAAAAGTACCAATTCACAGGAATGCATGCACCCCAATGTTTATAGCAGCACTATCTATAATAGCCAAATTATGGAAATAGCCCAAATATCCGACTGATGAATGCATAAAGAAGATGTGGAATATTACTCAGCCATAAAAATGAATGAAATCTTGCCATTTGCAATGACATGGATGGAGCTAGAGGGTATTATGCTAAATTAGTCAGAGAAAGACAAATAACATGATTTCACTCATAGGTGGAATTTAGGTAACAAAATAAAAGAGCAAAGGGAAAAGAAAGAGAAAAAAGCAAAACAAGAAACAGACTCTTAACATAGAGAACTGATGGTTACAGAGGGTTGGTGGGTGGCGGGATGGGTGAAATAGGTGATGGGGATTAAGGAGCGCACTTGTTGTGATGAGCACTGGGTGTTGTAGAGAGTGTTGAGTTACTATATTGTACACCTGAAACTAATATTACACTGTAGGTTAACCAACTGGAACTTAAATAAAAACGTTTTTAAAAAGAAAAGAGAACGCCCAACACATAATATAAGTAGGAAAGCCAGTCTTCATAATCAATCTAATCAGCAACATTTGATTTATTTTCTGTCAGAAGAGAGACTGGGTCTTGATTTGGAGGCTGAACTAGGAACCAGGTGACCCTTCAAGTTGAGAAATGGACAAATTCTATTAGGAGGGAAAAGACAAGATCAAAGTCATGCTTCCAGACAACTTTCATTCTGTATGTGCAGAACAAACTGACGTGGAGGGACCCGAGGCCAGGAGGACCAGTTAGGAACCACTGCAGTGGGCAGTGAGAATGGAAAACCAAGGACAGGTGGGTCACCAAAGGAGCGCAGCCACGGTGCTGGGAGTCAGGCCCTACAGGTTCTCGTCTTATCTCTGCTTTTAACTTACTGTATGCTCTGGGGTAAATCCCTTCCCTTCTTTGGATTTCAGTTTTCCCGTCTCTAAAGTGCAGAATAATCCCCAAGTTCCTTCTAACTCTGGATTCTTTTTATGGGAGCAAGATTATGAAGGATAGCTAAGATAATGTATTAGACAGCCTTTACAAGCTTCAGAGTAATAATATCCTTGGTCCCATTACTATTGTTATTAGTATTATTACAAAGACAGCCTCCCCAGGACAGGATGAAGAGATTAGCAGGAGAGGACAGGAAGTCCACGGACTGCATTCTGTAGGGGCGGGAGTAGGGGGCAGGGTCTTTGGTCTTTGGGGAAGGCCAGCTGACAACTCTACCCCTCCCCCAAGTTCTGTGAGGACAAACAGCATTCTGTGTGTTGTCACCTCAGGAACCTTTTCCTCATTCCTTTGAGCCACACCCCATACT